TTACCACTAGATTGAGCACGATCGATTAGATATGTCTCATGCGGTTTTAAAGTTACACCAACTCCTTAGATACCAGTCTTGTACCACAAGTAAATCTGGTACCGTACCCAAACCACTGCAAACCAAGATCCCGCATAAGACCTTTTTTGGCATGGACACGTTAGGCCATACTGAGGCAAAGAAACCACCATACTTTAAGTTGTGGCGAATTAGAGTGGCTTTTTATAGATCTTTGCAAAACCTGTTTTGGAAAAGGCCAAGGACGAGGAAACTTGTTTTAGGGATGCTACAGTTACCGTTACTTTTAGTTATCGAATAATTAAACGATAATGAAATGCGCGAAAAAGTCATATATTTCCTACGAAATGAAAAGTGACCGAACTATTTGCAATGTTAGTCGTCTTGGACAAGAGTGATTATATCGATAAATCTAGATCAATATTGAATAACAATTGCTTTGAACTCATGAAAAAGATTACAACTCTGAAATCGAACAAACAAGAAATAATGGTGAGTTTTGACATCGAGAGTCTCCATACTAACATTCCGCTCGGTGCGGTCATCGAAACAGCTCTTGATCTATTGTACGGCGAAAACAAGCAGCCAAATAACTGTCCATTCAACAGAGCACAATTTAAATGGTTATTAGAAATCTCATCTATCTACGTTCCCTTTTGTTTCTACAATGAAAATTGGCAACAGTGTGATGGTGTAGCCATGGGCTCTCCCATAGGTTCCATTCTTGCGGATATATTCATTTCAAAATTAGAACCAAAACTTGAACCATTTTCAACGAACAAACCGAAGATATGGCTGAGATATGTCGATGATGTGTTTTGTATTTTTAATAAGAAACAAAATATTCTCGACTTTCTCTCAAGAATTAACAAATGGCATAATCAACCAAATATGAAACAACAGTCTACCGAAAACCTACTACTAGAATCTATTTCTACCATCAAGCACGAAAATATAAACTAGGTCTGATCAAACCTCTCTACGTGCGATCTCTTCGCCCTTGCTCAAATGAAAGTCTCTTAAAACTTGAACGAGAACATTTGTTTAAAGCATTGAAGATGAAGGGTTATCCTGATCATATTATACGGCGAGGTCTTAGTGAAGCAAAAGAGATCTTTAAGAGATTGAGTGCCACTCAAACTCAGTCACAAACTCAACAACAAAAGAAGAAAGAAATTTACTTCGTTTTCTCGTACTACGGTTATAAAACCATTGAGTTAGGTCAAAGAATTTCTAAAATAACTGAAAGCTACTTCCAACTCCTACCATCAATCTAGGCTATCGGAGATCATTTACTTTGAAAAATATTTTCTTACCAATTCAAAAAGGATCTAACGACACTCGAAAGAAGAAAAAACTCGTCTATTGCGTAAACTTTAAAGACTGCAATAAGACGTACATAGGAGAGACTAATCGTTTGGAAACGACTAGAATGACAAAAGACAAGAACGATATTCGTAAAGATAAACTAACATCACTCATGATACAGCGACATTACCGCGAACGACATTACCGCGAGACAATACCGCGAACGACAATACCGCGAACGACATTACCGCGAACGACATTACCGCGAGACAATACCGCGAACGACGTTACCGCGAACGACATTACCGCGAACGA